TCGGGGGCACACGATGGAAAATTTTTTTTCCCCCCCCCCCCCCCCCCCCCCCCGGCATGTTGTCATGAAGCTCTTCTACTGCCTATACTTCATTGCAAAGGACTGTAGATGAGTAGTAATACAGATGTACGGCCTACTAATTTTTCTAATAGTGCTCTAGTGAGTCATTTGGTTCTGGGGAATAGCTGGGATGAAAGTTTGTTACCACTTATGTTATTAGAAATAAATAGTCTGAGGCTTTATTGTATGTCCTGCCCTGTTCATCTTCCAATGTATGGTTCCTTTGTTATAGTAACTGTCATGACAGATCTATGATTGATAGTTTCCTTTTTTTGTCACTATGTGTAGCCAGCAAGCGGCAACAAGCTTGTCTTATGCACCGCTTGGTTGCACTGCTGCAGAGGTCAATGCTAGGCTAACTCTTCAGGGACAAAAGCAGGTAATAAAGACTGAAGACAAAGATCTAGTGCCTTCCTTGTGGCTAGATATCGATTAGCAAACAAAAAAAGTACCCAGCAGCAGTTAGTTTGGAGCTAATGCTCACAATAAGAAGAGTATCCTGTGTTGCTTTCCAGGAGTCCTCAAATATAGGCCTACTTTTCCCAGCTGGGACTGACCTTAGTCAGAGGGGTTTGTTTCCTTATTACCAAGAATTCTTCTTGTTTCTCTCTCTTGTCAGGGATTCTAAAAGCTGTTTATGAATGCCTATGCAGTTATCTTTCTCCCCCTCCCCTCTTTTTTCCCTTTCAGATGTTGGCAGCATTCAGCAGTCAGAGGACAAGGTAAGCCTGTGTCTTCACCTTCGTTATGTGTGCAGATATAATCCTGCTGTAGTAGAAGGCCAGCTCAGGAGGTGCAGATGTCTTTGGAAACTATCAAGGTGCTTACCTGTGAGAGTGGCTCTGTCCCCTGCCACCTGGAAAATGAAACAAAATGCTAGGACTGAACTCAAGTAAGACAACGAGACTGGGAAACAATGTGCACAGATGCTGCCTACTGTGGAATAGCCCACAGTCTTTTTGTCTTAATAACAGATAACTTTGAGGTGCTAGATAAGGCCATGTAAAAATCTTAAAACAGCTTATTTAGGGAGTATGTCAGGCTACCCGATGAGCATCTAGCTGCCTTTTGGGCCCTTCTCATCCTGAGAGATGTGCTCAGCCCTGAGGGGCAGTGGAGGGTACACATATGGCTGGGAAGCAAGAGCTGTGAGGTTCTCCACAGCACTTTGTGCTGCACTGCTTCCTTGGTCTCTGTCTGCAGCTGTTGGAGTACTTGGGAGTGGTGATCTATGAAGCCCTGGACTGGGGAATTGACAGCCAAGTGGAGCGAGAACTGAGTGATCCTTTGGAGAAACTGCTGTGCCTCATGTTGAAACTGGATGATGAGGCAATGAAACCAGCAGTCACCCTGCAGGATGTTATCAAGGTTTCCTTCTTCCCACTTAGTAAATATAGCACCTTTAGGGGAGTTGATGGAACAATGCTGTTAACCAAGGGGCAAGACCATTTCTGGGAAAAAGCCGGGTAGCTTGTTGGAGGACATAGAAGGAATACGTGGCTTTCCCATCAGAGGGAAAAGGCAAAACCATCTTAGGTGCATGCAAGTGCCTACAGAAAAGAATTAAGAAGGAAGACTGAGCATGGCTCTCACACAGCTGTGTCTACAAAGTCCTTCTGTACATAGTCTCCAAATTCGATACCTAGAAGACTATGGATATTGAAAAAAGTGACTTGTCCATAGTATTCAGTTTCTGCAAGAGCTGGGGTTTGAATACCTCAACTCAAACACATATTTTCCTCTCAACCATAATTTAAAGGTATGAGAAACTTCCCATCCCTCAGACTGATCAGGGCAGGGGAAAAGAACAGGGCAAGTGACTCCACCTGCTGTGGTTTTTTGTGCTTTGCACTGGAGGCTTCCCCTTCCAGGCACTTATTTCAAAGCACACCTTATGGAGAACAAGATATATATATTACACAGCTACTTACATTATTGTACATATAAGATTGGACATCTTGCTTCTTTGTTCCTCTGCATCTGCAATAAAAAAAAATAAAAGATACAAAGGGGCTGTGAGGAAGATGTTTTTTAACCATGGATTAAGAAAACGGAATC